CCCCACCAATCTATGATGTAGACTTCATTTCCCAAGGGTTACCAAGATGACACTGCAAGTAAGTAGCTAAGTAGCAATTTGGAAATAAGGACCATGATTGTGTCATGATATCATGGTATCCCCTGAAAGTCCACTCTGTAGAGTTCCTGTAATGTTAGATTTTCTGCAATAGCACCATCCTATATAGCCATATATATACTTCTCCCTTTGGACTACCTTTTGCATTGAAACTGGGTCCTCTTCCATTCAAGACCATTCAGTAGTGATAATGGCTAATAATAACAACCTGAAGTATAGGTTAGCTCATAATGCCTAGATAATGACAGATTCCTAGAGACCTACACTTTTAATGCAGGAATTTCAGTACAGTAATAAATGAAGGGGGGTATTTTTGGTAGGATCTTTCAGAGCATTGCTTTTTCTGTGTTTGGAGTCCTGATTGGGTGAATTAGGTACATGCAGTCAATTTTTTAGCTTTTTTTTTTTTTAAAAGATTTATTTATTTATGCACACAGAACTGGGGTGTAGGGGCAGTGAGAGGATTCACCAGAGACAGAGTGGGAAGCAGATCAATGAAGTACACTGCTGAGGGGAGCAGCGGGCATGTCAGAAGAGGTGTGCCGTGTCATGTGCATCACCTTTGGGATGGGCGGGGATCAAACACATGCTGCAGTGGCTTTAGCTTCTTAGTGCTGTTCTTTAACCTGCTTGACCACCAGGGAGGGCCACTTTTTTCTTTTTAATGTCTTAAAAAGACATTGGCTAGTGCAAAGACTGGGATTACCCAAAACCCCCAGTTCCACCTTTCATTTTCTCCTGCTGAGTTTGCTAGATGTGAATAGTCATTCTTTTTTTTTTTTTTTAGACTTTTTTTTTTTATTTATGCATATAGAACTGGGGTACAAGCCAGAGGTGCAGCGGCGGTAAGAGGATTCACCAGGAACAGAATGGGGAGCAGAACAGTCAGATCAACGAAGTACACTGCTGAGTGGAGCAGCAGGCGGGTCAGGAGAGGTCTGCCACGCCATGTGGTCACCTCCGGGGCAGGCGGGGATTGAACTCATGCGGAAGTGGCTTCAGCTTCTCAGTGCAGTGCTTTAACCCGCTGCGCCACCAGGGAGGGTCGTGAAGTCATTCTTTGCTTACATTTCATGTAACCACAGTAAAGGAGAGAGACCAATATGACAAACATGTTACCAGTCAGCTTTTGTGAAATGTCAATATTTGGCATATTTATTTCTTATATTTTAAGAAATATTTCTTTAAAGAAATAAAAGATTTCATATGCAGTGGAAGTACCCAGTCTACCTTTAGATCCTGGCTCTTACTTCTCTGAAGTTGTTTTCCTTTCTATTCATCTTTTTCTATTTTCCCCACATAAAGGTAGGATTTGTAAACAATCGAGGATTTTAGTGTGCTTTTTAAAACTTTACAGAAACAGTGCCATATATCCTCCTGCAGCTCATTCACCCCTCCCCCCCAAAGTAATGTCTCTGAGAGACCTAAGTTGTTAGGTATAGTCATGGCTCATTCTTTCATTTTATATTTCTGAATATTATTCCACTGTCTGACTATATCATGGTTTGTTTCTTCTCATACTGATGGGCATTTCACTTATTTCTGATGTTTTGCAAACCATGCTGCAGGGGACATTTCAGTCCATTCTTCTGGTGCGTGTGTATGAGTTTCTCTGGCTGCTTGTTTTTGCCTCTATTTGGTCACAATCAGCAAATAAATATGTGATTCTACAAAATAGTTTTCAGATGCCTCCAGTTTGTAGATATTTGGGCAATCTTTCCTTTTACAAGCACTGCATTTTAACAACCAGAATAATATTTTGAGATTTTTCAGGAACTCCATAATGTTAGCCATTAATTTACCAAATATTACTTAGTGCATTCATTTACTATAACATCCAATCACTTTATGGTGCATCATCCAACTGGCACAAGATGGCTCATATCTGTATAGTTCAGTACTCAAATATCCAACATGGGAAAAATGAGTGTGTGGTTATTGGGAGTTCTAAGTCTATGAATTACAAAAAATACTTTGAGCTGTAGGTAGAATGAAGAGAAAAAGATAATAGAATGGACGGAGATATATTACTAATTGGGTTGGGATGAGTTGAAGTATCAAAAAGATTTTGCACTTAATGTTTCATTAGAACAGGATTTTATATGTCTGCCATATAACACTCCATGGTGGACCCCAGTCAGCAAGGGTTGCAGCTTGGCTACTTGCAGTCCTTTTATAGAGTCGCAACAGGTTGACTGTTGATTTGCCATCTTTAAAATGTGGTTCCCGCCAGCGGGTTAAAGCACTGCACTAAGAAGCTTAAGGCCACTTCCGCATGAGTTCGATTCCCGCTTGTCCCGGAGGTGACCACATGGTGCGGCAGACCTCTCCTGACCCGCCCGCTGCTTCCCTCAGCACTGTAATTCGTTGATCTGCCTGTTCTGCTCCCCACTATATCTCTGGTGGATCCTCTCACCCCCCGCATCTCTGGCCTGTGCCCCGGTTCTGTATAAATAAATAAATCTTTAAAAAATATATAGTTAAAAATAAATAAATAAAATGTGGTTCCCAGCCCTCCTGGGTTGGAGTGCTGCACTGCAAAGCTAAGCCAAGCTGTGGCTGCCTCAGGGTGATTATGGGTCACTCTGAGGTGACCCATAAGGTGCCACAGACCTCTCGTGACCCACCCGCAGCTCCCCTCAGCGGTGTACTTCATCGATCTGCCTATTCTGCTGCCCACTCTGTCTCTAGTGAATCCTCTCGCTGTCTCTACACCTCTGTACCCCATTTCTGTATGCATAGATAAATAAAATCTTTTTTAAAAAAACCTGTAGTTCCCCCTCAAAAATGTGGCCCGCAAAATTAGTAAGTCAGATGGAAAAAAGAACCATGAGGTGTACAACAATGTTCACATTCTATTGACTAGAATGTGAGCATTAACATAAGTCAACATTCAACATCTGACCTTAAAGGGTTCTGGGAAATGACATCTACCTGTGTGCTCAGATAGGAAGAAGAGCAAATAGGCTTGCTGAAATGTTAGTTCATTTTCTTAGGAAAGAGAAAAGGAGTTGGTAGGGCTTTCATTGAAGTACTTATAAGACAAGAAGAGGGGACCGTACACAGAGGTGTCAGTCTCCTCCTTAAACACTATTCCCATCCAACCAAATAGGTCCGTCCTAGACCCCGGAACCAAGTCCTCCTTTTATCTTTCACTTACAACAACTTAAAATTAGGTTGATTCAGTATTTGTCAGAAACTGCGATTTCTATGTCCTGTAACTGGGTATCTTGCACTTTTGTTGAGTTTTACTAGTGATTCATGCTCCTAGTTCCCAGGTTTGAATCATTGCTGCCTTGACTCCATTCTTTTACTCTGACACGAAGTTCTGTTGATTCTATCCTTGTCAGTTGTTTCCTGTGCTTTCTTGTTTATTGTTCCCCTTCTAGCTTCCTCTACCAATTCCTGTTTTACTCTAGTTTCTCTACATTATTCTACAGAATAATCCTGCTAAACTCCTATTTTTCTGTATCGCATACTATTTCTATTCATAACCTCCACTAGATCTTTCTGACCTGAGGAAAAGTCCAAACTCCTTTCTCTGACATTCCATACCCTTCAAGATCAAGGCTGGATGTCACCTTCCAGAATTTTTTTAAATTTTTGTTTCAAAAAAAAGCCCAAAAAACAAAACACCACTCCATTCTGTGTTACATTGTCATGGCTTCTGGACACAAATTCTTCTCTCCTGTGTCCCTATCTTCATCTCTTCTCCTCCATTTGAAAGCCTCTTCTTGTCCAAATCCTGCTGATGAAATTAAAAACCCAGTTCCAAAAAGATACTTGTACCCCCATGTTTATTGCTGCCTTATTTACAATTGGAAAAACATGGAAGCAGCCCAAATGCCCAAAAGTAGATGACTGGATTAGAAAGATGTGGTACATA